CTCTAGTGTTTTGGAATGGGGGGCAGGTGGCCATTAATGGGGGTTTGCGTCATGATATGTGCTCACTGAAGGGATTGGAGAGCAAGGGCCAAAAGCGACCTCCAGCCAAAACCGGTTTGGCTCAGTGGATAGAGCGTCGGCTTGTGGACTAAAAGGTCCCAGGTTCGGTTCCGGCACATCCCCAGTAGAGGGTGTGCAGGAGGCAGCTGATTGATGATTCTCTCCCCAGTAGGGGGTGTGCAGGAGACAGCTGATCAATGATTCTCTCTCATCGATGTTTCTAACTCTCTATCCCTCTCTGTAAAAAATCAATTAAAAATATATATTGAGATATTAAAAAAAAGTGACCTCCAGCTGAATTAAAAGGACTGGCTATTTCTCACTTTGTACACTGAGTACCGCTTCCTTTCCCCACCTCGTAGCCACGAGAAAATTAGCTGCCAACAAAAATGTCGCACTGTCAGAAAAGAACACGTAGTGCTTTAGAAGCAGTTTGAACAAGGGTGCGGCTGTTTGGAAGTTTGCTATTTTTTGCACATTCCCTGCTTTTTCTTTTTTTTCTAATCACTTTTCCTAAGAGCACTTTCTCAGCCTGCCGCGTTCTCGTCATTCCTATCCGCTCCCCCTGCTCACTAATGGCCCTGGTTTGTGAGCGCTTTCTCAGCATTCACGTCACTCAGCCCGCACAGGCCCATGTTTCTACCAAAGATGCACGTTTGGCTTCACAGCTTTGAGAACTCCTGTGTCAGCCACGCCTCCCAGGATGGTGGGTAAAACATCGCTATTTGGAGAGCTGATTAAATATGTATGTTGAAAGCCTTTTTCTAAACCAGCCCATGGATTCTGAGATCAATCAGCATCGGCCAAGCGTGTGAAAATAGCTAAAATTGTGTCTTGGCTGATTGCGGGATCCCTGCCTGTTCTGTGAGCGATCGGAGTCCGGCCTGGCCCCTCATGCTTCTTCAGGGGAACAGAGACCTGGCCCAGCTCTGTTCCTGCTGCTCCCGGACCCCGACCCGCAACCCACTGGCCCCCTCACTACAGAGAGGAAAGAGAGAACCCCATGAGCACCTTCTGTTGCTTTTATTTTTATTTATTTATTTTTAATCCTCACCTGAGGATATTTTGCCACTGACTTTTAGAGAGAGTCGAAGGGAGAGGGAGAGACATCGAATTACTTGGTTCCTGAAGGCACTCCGACGAGGGCCAGGGAACTGCAATCAAGGCATGTGCCCTTTCCCGGAATCGAACCTGGGACCCTCCAGTCCTCGGGCTGATGCTCTGTCCACTGAGCAAAAACGGGTCAGGGCACCTTTAAAAGAAATATTTCTTTTAAAGAAACATTTCTCTAAAGTTTCACTTAGTGCTCCTTCAACGCAGGGAGAGCCAAAGGCCCAGGCAGTTTCTGGGCTGGCCCTGGCCAGTGGGTCCTGCCTGGACACAGGTCCAGACAGCAGCCCTGTGGGCGACACTGGTCACAGGGACCTTGTAGGCTCCTCAGAGTTCTGGGTCAGCTGTTGTCCCAGGGCTGCCTGTGGTCCCCTCTGGAACACAAGCACTTTCTAACTGACGCCTGGATGGCACCCTCTGGCAGCCTTCTGCTCCATGCGATGAGCTAGAGCCAATTCAGCAACTGAGGCAGGAGCTGGAGGGTGTGGCCTGAGGCAGAGGCGGAGGGAGAGCAGGAGGAGTGGGATCCGAGGTTTCTGAGGATGAGTTGGGAGGACTTAGACCTGGTGTGTAGGAGAAGTACAGGTCTAGGAAGTCTCCCAGCGTCTAGCTAGGTGAGGCAGAGGCAGACTGTGGGCATGGGAGGAGCAGGTGGGCAGGGAGATGCCCTGTGGGGTCTTCAGAGGCGGAGAGCAGGAAGGCAGGTGGGCAGGGGAGATGCCCTGTGGGGTCTTCAGAGGCGGAGAGCAGGGGCAGGAAGGCAGGTGGGCAGGGGAGATGCCCTGTGGGGTCTTCAGAGGCGGAGAGCAGGGGCAGGAAGGCAGGTGGGCAGGGGAGATGCCCTGTGGGGTCTTCAGAGGCGGAGAGCAGGGGCAGGAAGGCAGGTGGGCAGGGGAGATGCCCTGTGGGGTCTTCAGAGGCGGAGAGCAGGGGCAGGCAGACAGAGACAGCGAGATCTTGGTGCAGTGAAGATAAGTGCCCCTGAGACAAGGGCAGGTCTGTTTGGTTTAGAAAAAAACTTTGCTTCGTGACCTCATCTCTCAGAGCTGTAAACCAGGTCGGAAAAATATTACTCCAGAAATGGCCACTCTGAGGCTGCTCAGACTGAGCAGTGCCAGTAAGTCCGCACAGAGTGTTGGCGCCAGAGCCGGTGGGGCTGGGCCTGCAGGGGCCAGAGGCCGGCGTTCTGGCCCATCGGGCGTCTGTGGACAGTCAGACATGCGGACCCATGAAGGTCCGGGGAGTTCCCCGTCGCCCTGAGTGTGCAGCCAAGGTCACCGCTTCTAAGCAGCCATTGCAGCCTCCCCGCTCTGTCCCTCCGGCTGAGGGGACAGCGGGCCTTGCTCTCCCCTGGGCTGTGGGTGGACCTGGCGGTGCTGCCTACCACCCGCGGTCTTCCCAGTAGATGGGGGCGGGGAGGTTAGAGGATAGGAAGTATATCATCTCAGTGTTGTTACTTTACTGATGATGATGATGATGATTGATGATGGCATTAAAGGTTGTGGGCTCGATTCCCAGTCAGGCACATATAAGAATCAACCAATGAATGCATAAAGTGCAACCACAAATCAATGTCAGGAGAATGGTTGAATCGTGTTCTATACATGAAACCTTACACAACATTAAAATCAACAAAGGAGATCTGTGTGTGTGGACACAACTGTCTTTTTCTTGTTAAGGTTATTGTTTTAGAGAGAGGGAGGGAGAGAGAAACATTGATTTGTTGTTCTACTTACTTATGCATTCATAGGTTGATTCTTGTATGTGCCCTGACCGGGGTCGGACCTACAGCCTTGGTGTATGGGATAATGATGCTCTAACCTACTGAGCTACCCGGCCAGGGCTGTGATACGTTGTTAAATGACAAAAGCATTTCATGGAAAAATCTGTATAATAGGAACACATTGCCCCACTCCCTATCCCCCACCCCACCCCCTACCCTCAGTTGTCCTGGTCCTTCCCTCCCCTGGGCATCAGCCACTTGTCGCCTCTCGGTCTGTACTGCTGGGGCTCAGCTCAGACTCCCCGTTTCTCCCCTGGACGATGGCGAACACCCCCAGCGAGTCTCCCGGTGTCTTGTCTGTACCCCAGGTTCCCCTGCCCGAGTGCCTGCCCTCCACTTTGCGGAGGGATCTTCTCAGAGTGCAGCTTTTATCCCGCTGTCTTCCTTCTTAACCGTTTTCCTCCATCCTCCCCAGGCTCCGGGGTCTCACCCCCTCGCTGGAGCCCGGAGCAGCCTGCCTACCTCCCCTCCCGCCTGCCACACTGACTCTCAGGCATGTTTCCCGGAACTTTCGTTGTTTCTTTACAGATGCCACCGCGTTAACAAGCAAGGTGTAGACGGCGGTGCAGAAGGAGCATTGTGATGTGGGTTCGTGGTTGGTTGTGGGACTGGAATTACCTCGCACACGTTCTGACTAGCTACCCCCTTTTCTGGAGTTGAGGACCACAGTTTCATCTTGTTTTGAGGCGGCCTTTTGGAAGCGAATACATTTCAGGGACAGCACGGTCTTTCCTGCCTTGGGCGCTGTTTTGTTCTGTCCATATTCGGGGGTGGGCATCTCCAGCGCAGGGGCCTGAGGGTTCGATACTCGTTTGTCCCTGGTCACGCTGCCTGCACAGCGCACAGCTGTTCTGCAAACATGCCTCGGACTAAACAGTCTCTGCTTTGGCTGCACTTGGAGCTAACGGGGTGGTGTGTGTGTGTGTGTGTGTGTGTGTGTGTGGTGCTCCATGTATAATCAGAAGAACCCAGAATCGAGAGAGGGTGCCGGGAGGTGCTCTCTAAGGCATGCTGCATGGTCTCTTGTCATGCTCCTCTCCTCCGAATCTGTATCTTTATTTTTATAGCACCAACTAGTGGGAATGACAGGAGTTTGGTGCAGCTTGCTGATTTTCAGAAACACTTGTACTTTATAAACTCATTCATGGCAGGAGGAAAGTGATGTAGCACTGTTGTCTGGCTCCCTCTGGTGGGCAATCATATGGAAACATCAAACTCCAGTTTAGCGTGGGAGAGGGACGGGTTGTGAATAGTTCTGGTTATTGGTAGTAAAAGGAAGAGAAAATGCATCTTGTGGATGTAAGGTCATTCTCATGGGAAAGCTCCCCGATAATAGCAATAGTAACATGCTCAGCAATACTATTTTCCTTTTGATCGCGTCGCGACCCGGCTGAGACCACAGTGTCAAACAGGAAAATTGCAAGCTACTAATGCTGCAACCATGGCTGGGCAGGCCTTCTTAAGGGACCTTGAAACAGGTAGATGAGCAGGGTAATTAAAAAAACTTTTTATTGAAGCACACAGAATTAGAATAAGGTGATTTTCTTAAAGTTGGAGATTTTCAAGAATGGCTACCATTTCAATATTTTGCATGTGTTTCCTTTGCAGTCCTTACTATAATCTAATGATCATAATAATCTATTATTGGATGCCGTATCCTGATGAAAAAAACTGCACCCCAGAGACGTTAAGTAGTTTGTCCAAGGTTATCTGACTAACGAGTGGGAAGCCAGGATTTGAACCTGTGGGGCCTGGCTACATCACATTGCCACACGGCAGGCTGACTGGTGGAACCCGCTGTGATGATGGGAAGGTCTGATGTCTGTGTGGCTATTGAGCAGTTGAGGTGGGGCCACTTCAAGAAAAGGACAAAATTATACCGAAGGCGCTTTACTGTCACTCCCAGCTCTCCCACTCTGCACCTCTTTGGCGTCTGCAGAGTCACATGTCTGCTGTCATTGTTGTCAGATTGCTGAACTGCTCTTTGGGGAAAAGAACTTATCTTTCCGGAAACACGCTTTCAACGAACCTGTCCCTCTGTTCTCAGGTGATAGAAACGCTGTCGCGCCTCTCCCGAACGCCCATCGCGCTGGCCACAGGAATCAGGTAAGCTCGTTTCTCCGAGGCCCACGTTCAGGGTCATGGTGGCTCATTGAACGGTCACTGCCTGCAAAGCATGTTGCACGCGAGGACTGCTTCTCACTAGTGCAGGCTGTCCGGTTTGCAAGTGCCAACACACGTTTGACACTTTGTGACTAAGAACACATTCACAGAGCCAGATGAGATCTGTTGGCTAAACACGGTTCTCATTTTACTGGTGACTGTTGTTGATATGATTCTTCTTTTTTTTTTTTTCTTCCTTCAACCTTTCTACACATGTGATTCACCAAGGCAAACACAAATGCTGGTGGCATGGAAAAAAGAGTAAAGCGTTGTCTCTGTGGTCTGATTTCTGTGACTTGGTTAGACGTGGATTTAGAGCATCATGTGCGTGTTACCAGAAAGAAGGGTCCTAGAGGATGAGGCAGAAAGGATGCTCATGGCTAGGAGTAGGGGATCCATGGCAGTGATTGCCTTTGAACGGGAGGCAGAGAAAACATCTTGTTCTCCCTGAGGCCATTTACCCAATAATGGAACAAACACACACAAAGTCTAAGGAGAGGAATAGATCAGAGCCAGTAATCATTTACACAGGACGCAGTATTCTTTCTCCTAATCATTTTCATTATCAGCTTGTCACCCAGTTGTTTGTCAAGAGTGATTGTCACCCAGTTGTTTGTCAAGAGTGATTGTCGCCAGTTACTTGCGAAGGGTGATCGCTACCCAGTCATTTGTCAGTCACATCGGCATCCGATAAAGTGGGAAGAGCTGGTGTTGAAGGCAGGCCTGCTCTCTGCCGGGGAGCTGAGGGGGGGCTGAGGGGAGCTGAGGGGAGCTGAAGAGGGCTGAGGGGGGCTGAGGGGGGCTGAGGGGGGCTGAGGGGGGGCCAGGAGGTGAGCCTGCGGAGTTGTGGCTGGGGGAGGGGGGGTGTCACTAAGCACAGCAGCCTGTCTGTCCCCAGCTGCTCAGAGGATTGGGGTGACAGCACACCTGCTGCTGATGCCCTGGGGTAGCAGGCGCCTCGTCTCCCCGGGGACCCCCAGACCCAGCCGCACTGGAAGAAACCCCAGATGCTGTCTCAGATGTGGTGACTGACCGGCCCGCGCCGGCGGCAGGTGGGCTGACACGGGTCATGAGGCAATGCCCGCCTGGATGCCGCTTGCTCACTCACCTTGTTTCCTCTCCCTCCTTCTCTCCCGCCCTCCAGGCCCTTCCCAACAGAAGAGAGCGTCAACGATGAGGACATCTACAAAGCCCTCCCTGACCTGATAGAGTACGTGAGCTCCCGTGTCATCACTTCTGCGTCCTTTGCGGGTTGTAGCAGTGGGGGGTGGTGGTGGGGTGTTCACAGAGCTCTGTGCTGGGAAGGGGAAATGGCTGGCGGCTGAGGTGTAAGAATCAAACCCAGGCCCAGAAGGGAAAGCGTCCGAGAGAGTGACCTCCATGGGCTCCTGGCTGCCTCTGTGAGTCCCTCGCGTGCAGGGCTCTGAGGAGCAGAGAGGCAGGCCGCTGCTAGGTACAGTGGGAGCCCTTCCCAGGCGGGTGGAGACGGAGGAGGGAGGCAGTGAGGGGACACTGAGCTGACCCTGCACCCCTCTCCTGGGGAGGCAGCACAGACAGCCCGCCTGGCAGCTCCAGGAAGGTGCCCTCCGGCAGGAACGTGGTCTGAAGCCCACTCACTGCACGAGACCTTGGCAATGAAAAGCCTGCAGAGAGCGAGGCCTCTGAGAGACTGTCATGTCCTAGGTGCCCTTCAGCTCCCCATCTTCTCCGTGTCCTAGTCTTTCTTAGTGTGACCAGCGAGAGGCACACGGACTCAGTCCCGGCCCTGCACGCACCTGTGCTGTGGTGGGCAAGTCCAACACCTGGTTGTCCTCTTGACGTGAGGTCATTTACCTGCCTGACCACACCCCCGGGGCCGGGCCTGGGGGGCCGGGCTCCCACCGCAGAGGGGCCGTGGGTGCTGGACGCTGTCGGGTGCTGTTGTTGCCGTCATTGTCCCTGTTAGGAGGGACGGGCCATCCCCCCGGCCTTCGACGCCACACGTTCCACTTTATGTCCCCTCTGGATTTCCTACGGGAACCGGGAGGCTTCTCGTGCGTTTCCTGCCAGGCAGTGACCTTCCCCCTGTGCCCTCTGTTCCAGCGAGACGCGCGCGGAGGACGAGGAGGGCCTGTATGACTGTGTGTACGGCGAGGACGAAGGCGGCGAGGTCTACGAGGACTTGATGAAAGCGGAGGAGGCACAGCAACCCGTAGGCACTCACCTGTGTTTTTTTTTCTTTTTTCTTTTTCTTAGTTACTCTGGGTATTTTATTGGAAAAGTGACCATTTTAAAAACTCAATGTAATTGTTTATGTAACTTCCGCTGGGATGGCTTTCTTGTTTGTTTTTTTTCTTACCTTGGCCCGCTATGTGTATATTGGATGCTACGTCAAATCTAAAAGAATAGTTACCTGCTTTGTAACAAAAGATTTTCTTCCTTAACAATATAGTTCTGTGATTCCATGAGATTAAGTCCCATGGCTCCTCTGCTATGGTTTTGCTGGGTGACATGTCATTTGTTGCTCCGACTTGGTTTCCTTACCAGAAAAATGGAAGGATGAGACCCGAGACTCCCTATGGTTGTTTTGACCCGTAAAATGGCACGTGTCTATGGCTCTGGCTGCAGTGACAAGTCATGGTTACCTGGTTATAACCATGACGATTTTTTGGTTAGTGTTTTATTAGACATAGAAAGCGTCAGAAAACCAGCAATGGTTTTGATCTCTTTCTAGCTACTGCCAGAGAGATTAACACGTGAATTGGATTAATTTCAACGGGATCATTCTAATTGCAGAAATGTCCAGAGAATGACATACGAAGTTGCTGCCTCGCAGAGATTAAGCAGACGGAAGAAAAATACACAGAAACACTGGAGTCGATAGAGAAGGTAAGTAATCAGGTGTCACTCTTGAGGCCCCTCCTGCCTTACCTGGTGAATGTGTTGGGCTCAGCGTTTTCTCTCTCTCTCCCTCTCTCTCTCTCTCTCTCTCTCTCTCTGTATATGTGTGTATTCTAATTTTCAGTAGAACTTTGGATTTACAGATCTCAAAGTAGGTTTAATCCTTCCAGAACTATTTATTTGATTAGAGGGCCACTGCATGAAATTTGTGCAAGGGCCTTGGCTCCGGACCCCGCCTGCCACCGCTGCAGCTGGGGTCCTCTGCCTCCTCTGCCTCGACCCCCACCCGCTGCGGCTTTGTCCGGAAGGAAGGACACCCGGAAGGATGTCTGGTCTAATTAGCATATTACACTTTCATTATTATAGATTCATTTTAGTCTCTGTGTGCGGGGATTGAGAATATGGCAGTGAACACAATAGAACTCTGGTTCTCGGTCATGGAAGTTATAGAAGTTTATAATACATCATCTGTCTGTCCCATTGTGTGCTCACCGCCCTAAGTATTTTATGCTTTAAATGTATTAACTCGTATTTATGTCTTTCTATCTCTGTTCAAGTGTATAATTTGCAAGTCAGAGAAAAATAGCTTCTGCTGTTTCTTGGACATTCATAATACTGATAAACAACTGACTTTCAGTCAATATTCATTGTTTGTTGATGACAATTTGTTATCTAGATTAGGATGAGTTGTGCTTAATTCTCATTCTCTCTCCTCTCCCGGTAGTACTTCATGGCACCACTAAAACGGTTTCTGACAGCAGCAGAATTTGATTCTGTCTTCATCAACATTCCCGTAAGTGAAACTATGCTAGCTAAGCATGGGGTACTTCTCTAAAACCTTTATTGGGGTTCCAGATCCCTGTTTTAGCATTCTCTGGTATTCTTTAAGAATGTTGACTCCGTTTGCTGTCTCTAGAGTTCTTAAAGCTATATTCTCAAGAAATAACTAAGTCATACTCTTAACCAAAAGTCACTCAGAATTAAAATGACCAGATGTCCCGCTTTTGGCGGGACAGTCCCGATTATTAACAATTTTTCCCGAGTCCCTCGGCGTTTTAAAAAAGTCCTGATTTTTGGAAATAATTTTAACAAATTGTTAAAAATCGGGACTGTCCCGCCAAAAGCGGGACGTCTGGTTACCTTACTCAGAATACATGCACAAGACACGTGGCTAAGGTTCCTGTGGAGGGAGTCTCAGTTAAACAGTCCCCGGGCTCCTGACTTACTGTGTTTTTGAGTCCCCTTCCTGCCTCTCACTGCTCTGTGTTCCTCCAGCCCCTGGACCCCATCTTATGGACACCATCCTGACTCCTTCCGTCTCCTCTGCTTCCTGCCATTCCTCCATGTCGTGGTGTCTCTTTTCTGCTTCCAGTTCCTAGTATATCAACCTTAACTCCCAGGCATGTCCCCTGACTAGGAATCGAACCGAACTGTAACCTCCTGGTTCATAAGCCAATGCTCAACCATTGAGCCATGCCAGTGGGCTCAACAGTCTATTTTAATGGAAATCCCCCCCCCCCTTTTTTTTTTTTAAATAGGTTTATGTAAGCATTTCAAGTTTCAGAGCACCTTCCAATAGTGGTTTTTTTTAATTAATTTTTTTATTATTATTATTTTTTTATTCTAAGAGAATATTTACTTGGGAGCATGAAGCCAGCCAAACGCTATGCCAGCTGAGGTCATGCTGGGCCAGACTCATGTTCTGAGGCCTCTGGAGCTGGCTCTGTCTTATTGGACAGCTTTCATGTATAAAACGTCAGCCTTTATGTACAGGCGTGCCTGCATCACCTGACTGGCCCCTTTGGCCTGTTTGGTCTGTTTTGCTTCTGTTATGTACGCTGTGGATGTGCCCCAGTCGGCTAGCGGTGGCACATTGGTCTTGTCCTTCCTTTGGGCCCAGTGAAGACATTGACTGATTTGTGACTTTGCAGGAGGAAAGGTCACAACGTCAGGTGGATGGTTAAGATGTAACCTTGCGCACGTCTAGGAAGGTGAGGATCTGGAACCACCCAAATGTGGTCATTGTAACCGAGGACCCCATTGGAGAGGTCTTACTCTTACAGCCTTTTCATGAGCCTCAGCCAAAGACAGGCCTGCCCTGCCGACATGGCTCAGTGGTTGAGCGTTGACCTAAGAACCAGGAGGTCACGGTTCCATTCCTGGTCAGGGCACACGCCCAGGTTGGGAGCTCAGCTTCCCAGTGTGGAGTGTGGAGGAGGCAGTGATCCATGACTCTCATCATTGCTGTTTCTCTCTCCCCCTCTCCCTTTTCTCTGAAATCAATAAAAACATACAAACAAGTACTGCCTCCCTTCCTCCCCCTCCCTCCCAAGACAAATGACAGGCCCAACATGTTCCTGGTTCCTGTGGGCAGTGAGGTTGGCAGTGAGGTCGGAGGGATGCTCAGGGCACAGGGAAGGAGATAGTGGGGGGACAGCCCCCTTGGTTCCGTGTCCTCATTTCCTGGCTGTGACAGGCAGGACCCTCTGACTGGAAATTACTTGTTTGACATTCTGCACGAGAGGAGCTGGGTAAGCCTCCTCGTCCAGTGTATCTGCTCCTCATTTCTGCCCCAGTCAGTCGTCTGGTGATTTAGCCCGATGGTTGAGGCTCAGCCCTGGGACACCACTAATTGACCAAAGCTCAGATCTACATTTCCATGCCCCGAGGACACAATCCTCACTTATCTTGTCAATAAGACATTAAACACTGGGGCAGTTGAATTTAAACATTTAAATTACAAAATGAAAATGAGCTGTGCATATTTTTATACAAGGAATGAATTGCCCTTTAATAACCAGTGAAATAATGTCTTTTGCACAGGACATTGGCATTTCGAGTCAGATCTTTAACAGCTGTTTCCTGTGGCCAGTCACTCTCCCGTCCTCTTCCCTCCCCTTCCCTTTCCTCCTTCTCTCCACTTCCTCCCCCTCCTTCCCTTCCTCCCGTCCTCCCCTCCTCTCTCTCCCTCTTTAGGGGTGTGGATTCTAGCAGGTTTCTGTGCCGAGTGCCTTTAGTGTGTCCTCGGATGGCATTTCTAGCAGCATTAGGGGTTCTGGGTTCCGGTGATTTTTTTGTTTTTGTTTTGGTTCTGATTTCTAACTAACTTTGACCTTGCTTTCTTTTCTAAGGAACTCGTAAAAGTTCATCGGAACCTAATGCAAGAAATTCATGATTCCATCGTAAATAAGCACGACCAGAACTTGTATCAGATTTTCATTAACTACAAGGAAAGGTAACTTCTGAATTTACAATTTTGGGGCTGTTCGCTGGTAATCGTAGTGAGGGTCGGTGTGACGCCGCTCACAGGAATCACCACTGTTCGTGGGGACACTGGGGGGCAGCGGTTAGAACTCGGGACCGGGGGTCTCCGGGGGCAGTGAGCTCCCTGAGTGTGACAGGACAGTAAGAAAACAGGAAAAGGAGGAGAAGGAGGGACTCTCCCACTCTGTCACGGAGCCCTGGGCTTCAGGAAGTCTCGCTAACTTGCCCACCTCCTTTCCCCATCCGTATGTGTCAGCTGTGGGTGAGCTGCTACCCCGTGCTTTTTCCAACTCTAATATGTCACCATTCTCCACTGTGGGTGTTTGATTCACGCTAAAGTCAGTTTCCCTTTGTCAGTTAGAAAAAAAAAAAAAAAATCTTCCGAACAGCTCACGTGAGTTAGGGATTGAGCTTAACATTTTACACCAAGCACAAGAGTTCCTAGTGCTGACTCAGAAGTGGCTCAGCCATTGCTTTGCATCGATGACTAGACAAACACGAACTTTCATCAGTAGATTTAAAAGAAGCATTAAGTTTCCCAGCCTCTTTGGGAAACGGCTGTGTCCTCCCGGGACCCCTCTGGGAAGCAGGCCGAGTTCCTGCCGAGCGATACACTTTCTGCGCGCACAGCTCAGGCCCCTCGTCCCCGCTTCAGAGGATGCATTTTTCTAATTAAAAAGGAGGACGGAGAGGAGGCTTACGAATGAATGGAGTCACAGGTAAAGGTTATGGTACAATTTTAGCATTAGCAGCCTGTTTTCTGTGTGTGAGCACACAATAAAAAGGAAGCACCTTTGCAGCTGACATGCGATGGTACATTAGTTTCCGGTGGACAACATAGTGAGTGGACATTTATATAATAAGAGCTTAGCCAGGAATTTTAAATTTCGTTGGTGTGACTATTTGCACTCAGCATCTACAGTCCTCAAGCCAGTTTTTAAAACCCACCTGCTGTAAAAATGTCCGTGCGGTGAATGCCAGTCAGATGCAGAAATAACAGGAGTCGTTTTTAATCCATCATTGTGGCCATCCTCCTTCCATGGCTGGCTGGGCACCCCTTCTATAATATAATTTTTGTAACGCTGAGTACCCCTCGGACTCATGAGAACGTAGAATTAGGCGCAGCTAAGCACGGTGCAGTGCCTATCCCCACCAAACTACGGTGCAACGTGTACCCCCACCAGACTCTTCCCGTACCCCTGGGGGTATGCGCACCACACTTTGGGAAACACTGTCCTAGAGGTTTGCTCCTCTGCCTCGTTCCCTCCCCAGGCTGGTGATCTACGGGCAGTACTGCAGCGCCGTGGAGTCGGCCATCTCCAGCTTGGACTACATCTCTAAGACGAAAGAAGACGTCAAACTGAAATTAGAGGTGCCTGCAGTTTCGTCTCTTAGTTTATGAACTAACCTAAGGATATGTCTTTTGACGCTCAGTGTGACAGTTAACTTCCCCATGTGGTCTCCGTATAACATTCTCAGGATAATCTCACGGCCGCTCTGTAAAGCAAGTTAGTGGCTGCCTTACACGAGGGCCGTGCTGTGGGAGTGACAGCCGCGGGACCCCCTGAGGCCGTGGCCGCCCCAGGAGCCCATCTCATCAGAGCCTCCTGAGGGGGAGATGGATGTGGGCAATTTCCTCATGTTGGGGCTGAGAAAGCCTGTGACTTCGGACTGAAAGGAACTACAATAGCTTCCCCTGTCACCCTCTCCCCCCAGTTTTAAACTGACTTCCACCACATAACAGCGTGAATGGTAAGAGTATAATGCTTCTGCTCCTGGTGCCGTGTTCAGGTGTCATAGTACAGGAAGTGTCAGATGCGGCCTGTTTTAAGGAGCTGAACGTGCAGAGTATGGTCCCTGGGCGGGACTTTCCAGGGAGAGCAGACCCATCATTATCCCAGAATTAACCTCCCATGTGAGACCCATGACCCAGAACGCTCTCTGATGCATGGAAGCAAGCCATCAGCGCAGCAGTTACCTTTCCAGTGACCTGCGGCAATCGGCCAGGCTGAGCTGGCATTTGTTCTTGCTTAAGATCCTCCGTCAGACACTCATTAGGCACCACGGTCTTTAGAGCCGATGGAGCTTGCTTTACCGCTTCTGGTGATAATATTGTTTTATGTTCCAGAAGAGCTAAGTGTGGGCACAGGGAAACCAAGGCATGAGCTAAGGAGTGTTTCCTTGACCATAACTCCTTTCCTGAGCACCTCCCCAAGTCCTTGGTCTGGGATGTGCAGCTTAATAAAATATTATTATTAGTGGACTTACTGAGTTGCCCACTAATAATAGTATTTTTATGAGCTCTGTTTTTTAAATTTATTTCTAGAGAGAGAGGCAGAGAGGGAGAGAAACATCTACTGGCTGCCTTCTGCACGCCCCCTACTGGGGATCGAGGTCACATCCAGGGCATGTGCCCTGACCTGGAATCAAACCCGTGAGTGACCTTTTGGTGCACGCACTGGACGATGCTCAACCAACTGAGCCATTCTTTTTGAACTACACTGTAGATATGTGAGAAACAGTAAAGTACTAGTTTAAAATACATTTTTAAAAAAGAGTAGTGTGAGGTTAAAAAAAAAAAAAGAAACTTGAGGCTTTCGAAACATAGACTCCTGTAGTAGTTTTACACTTGAGCATATTCTTGGAGTCAATCATTTCATTTCACTCAGTTCAACAAACACATAAGCAAATCCTAGATTCTTAGAGGTAGGGGAGACATCTTGGGGAAGGGATTATGTACAATAAGAATGAAAAACCCGCAGGGCACACAGAGAGAGCACCATTTTGATTGGGGTTGTTACTAAAGACCTAGATGTGTAGTCCTTGCGGAGAATGCTGGGTTCTGGTGGGAACTGGGCCATGCACATGGCCGTTGGAGAGAACCGGGGTGTGCTGGTGGGGAGGCCCATGTGGGTGGGATGGGCCGGGGCGTGGGTGAGATTGGGGACAAGGCAGAGCCCTCAGCCTCGGAGGAGGAAGGCCCTGGAGGGCTCCACAGGAAAGACTCTTCATCTTCATACACAGAGTTTTTCTTACCGATTCATATTTAGAGCCGAAATGCCCCAAGTTTGGTTTGTTTTTTGGCTTTTAATTGTAGGTGCTTTCTATTTTTTTGAAAGAAGGCTTGTTAAGAAGGAAAAAATGTTTATCGTGCAGTCACAGTGTTGTGTATGGCCTTCGCATCTTCTTGTGTTGGCTTTATGACCCCCTTTGATAAAACTAACAGGATCTTTAAAAATATATATATTTTATTGATTTTTTTTACAGAGAGGAAAGGAGAGGGATAGAGAATTAGAAACATCGATCAGCTGCCTCCTGCACTGGGGATGTGCCCTGCAACCAAAGTACATGCCCTTGACCAGAATGGAACCTGGGACCTTTCAGTCCGCAGACTGACACTCTATCCACTGAGCCAAACCAGTCAGGGCACTAACAGGGTTTTTAACCCACATTTTAAAAACTACGTTTCACCAGGAATGTTCCAAACGGGCCAACAACGGGAAGTTCACTCTCCGAGACTTGCTCGTGGTCCCAATGCAGCGCGTGCTCAAGTACCACCTTCTCCTGCAGGTACGTCACTCACAGCCCCTGCTCATTCATTCCTTCCACAAAATGTTCACGAGGCATCACCATGTGCCCGATGCTCCTTGTCTGGGGCCCGATCCCCTCGCAGTTCTCAGTGATCAGTGGGGCGCGATGGGAAACAACGGCTGGAAGCTCGCCTTCCTTGAAACCACTGTGATTCTCCTTTCTCACAAGGTCACACTTCCTGTCCCTCAAACGTAGCTGGCTCCAGACACTATAAACATTAAATAATCAAGTCAGAACAAATATGAAGATCCCTCCCGCCAAGTCCTTTGTAGTCGGTACTGATCACTTACTAGATTCTCGATATTGCTATCCACCCGGATTCGGCAGGTGGATTCTGCGAGAACTTTGCCTGATGACCGTAACCTAGAGAAGCTGTGTCAGATTATGGGTTGCTTTCTGCTCTCGTAGATGATAATAAGGCTACCTGCATTTTGAAGGGATTCTCGTTATAACCCCGAAGCTTATGGTTTCCACCGTTAGTCCTCTAATGAGGGTGGAGAGTCTTATAAATTTAATCTGATGGCTGTACCAGGAGACTCATTAGTTCTGCTCCAAAGGAATGTCCTACCGCATTAGCCTGTCTGCTCTGCTGACGCTTGTGAAATGTTGTCTTAAACAGGTCTCCTACCTGCATGTGAAATATGATTTGGAGTCTTCTGTGCTTTGGACCTCCTGCATATTACATTTCTTGCACCGTAGCTGCAGAATGATTAGTCATCCCTATTTTTGTTCTACTGAGAAATCAGAGCAATTCAAACCCTGATTATTTCTTTAAAATGCATTAAAACATGTATGAGACCTAAACTCAGAGCAACTTTTACTCAAATTGGATTTTATGAAGAAATAATAAGGAAGACTAAGGCAATCAGTTTCTGAGACACCGTGGAACTAAAAACCTGTCCAATATAAGAGGATAATTTATTTAGGAACGTCGGTTACTAACTACCACTGGAAGAATTTAGAAGGTGCAGTTTTCAGGATACATTTGTTTGTATCACAGAGCTTTAGTCAGACTTCTCAAAGTATAAAATGTGACTATCCTTTTATGAAATTTAGCAAACGTTTTCCTAATTCTTCTTGGATTGTTTTGTACTTTAAATTTTGAAAGTATGTTAGTCCCATGATGATGGGCACTTGGGTTGCTTCCAGATATTGGCTATTGTAAATTACACTGTAACTGAGCATTGGGGAGCACATGTCCTTTCAAATGAGTGTTTGGGTTTCTTTGGATATATTTCCAGAATGGAATTGCTGAGTCTTATAAGGTAGTTCTACTTTTAATAGTTTGAGAACTTCTCTACTGTTTGTGGCTGCGCAAACCTACATAAAGAGTTCATTTTTAAATGTTTTCTTCCTTACATTTGGGTGTTAATTTGATGAGAACAGTACTAAACCGTGTCTTCCAAATAGGAACTGGTCAAGCATACCACCGACCCCATAGAGAAGGCGAATCTGAAACTGGCTCTGGATGCGATGAAGGTAAAGCGATGCGCTGTGACCTTGCTTGTGTTTGATATTCTTGCCTAAACAAGAGAATGCTTTCTGCTAATTCATATGTATGGCGTGCTCATGTATATATATATTGAATAAAAGCCTAAGCAGCCATTTGACATATAGCTATGATGCGAAATGACCAACAGGGAGCAGATGCTCCGACCGGTAGGTTAGGTTGCTATTGGGACCCTGTCAGCCCTGAATCTGCTTTACCCACACCCTGGACCCAGAGAGGAGGGAGAAGGGAACCCGGTTCCTCTTGGAATCAGCGGTGGGTTAGCTTACCACTGGAGCCCTGTTGGCCCCAAATCTGGTTCACCCACACCAGATTCCCTTCCAATGTACATGAATCCATGCACCGGGCCACTAGTATATTATAATATACATAAGTATTTGTATAGTGTTGTTTTTGGTGGGGAGAGTTGAATCGTTTTTAACTGAAATGCATACATCTGCATGAATTTAATTGTTAGACAAAAACACATAAAACCAACAGGTGAATTAAAATTACTTAAAACTATATATTTTTATTGATTTCAGAAAGGAAGGGAGAGGGAGAGCAAGAGACAGAAACATCAATGATGAGAGAAAACCATTGATCCGCTGCCTTCTGCACGCCCCCACACTAGGGATCAAGTCTACACGTGTCTCCACTGGGAATCGAACTGTGACTTCCTGGGTCATAGGTCGATGCTCAACCACTGAGCCACGCTGGCTGGGCAAAAATAGTTTTGTTACGTATGAATGTTATGACAACGTCCATAACCTTCCATAGCATGGTTGCCGTTAACATTCTCTGCGTGGTCACTGATAGGACATGGCCGGCTTGTTTAAGCATCAGCTGGGCGGGTGCCCGCGGAACACAGGGGTGACGCACTTGCTCAGCCGAGGCCTCTGCCAGGCTTTCTTTTGGGGGTGCTGAGCGTCCGTGCACGTGAGGTTCAGGTTGGGTTTCTGTGCTCAGGGAAGCCTGGAAGTCAGGAATGACCAGTAGACAGAAGCCCACTTCCTGAGCACCTGGGGGCTCTAAAAGACCCGACTTCCACGCCATGCTGGACTTTGAGAGAAATATTCGTCCCTAATTTATTTATTTCTATATATTTATTTTTAGAAATATTTTATTGATTTTTTTACAGAGAGGAAGAGAGAGGGATAGAGAGTTAGAAACATCGATGAGAGAGAATCATCGATCAGCTGCCTCCTGCACACCCCTTACTGGGGATGTGCCCGCAACCAAGGTACATGCCCTTGACCGGAATCGAACCTGGGACCCTTCAGTCCGCAGACCGACGCTCTATCCACTGAGCCAAACCGGTTTCGGCATTCATCCCTAATTTAAAACAGAAGCAAATGTGTCCTCAGAACAGCACGCAAGGTGGCAGTGAGACGGATACTTCTCCGTGTCTCTGGGCCGTTTCCCAGCTGGCCCCGCTGTTCCGCCGCTCTGTACCCGCCCCGTCAGGGCCCATCACCCGGTTCCTTATTGTTATAAAAAGTCATACCCAGGGTCTGATGTTAAAGTGATCATTTATAGATACAGGCTCTGAAAAGCCAGACTTTCATTTAGAACAAAGCTCAATGCTGCCTTTTGTCCGAGTTCTGTTCCCGCTGCTTCAGACGAACCGAAGGGAACAGAAATGATGAAAAAGACCCCAGAACATAGAATCGAGAGCGCGTACAATAAAAATAGCCGGTCGCCGCGTGGAAGATTCGCTCCTGTTTCCTCCGAAATGGGGGCAGCCGTTTAAAAATAGACCCAGTGTGAACGGTGCCCGTTTCACGGAGTTCTTTGCTCTCTTGCCTCTACCCCCTCTCCTTTCAAAGGAGACGGGATTGAAGGCTCCCAGGAACAAAGACATGAGCTGATGGCGGAAAGCGGGCCTGCCAGATTCCTTGTCTCACTTTCCGTTACCTTCCCCTCCCTCGCTGAGCCCTCCCCTCTGCCCTTATTCCAACCCGCATGGAATGTCCTTTGTTAATGTGTTTGGAAGGTACATTCTCCTGACCTATTCCCTTTCTGCTGTTCTGCGTGGGGTCACTTTGTTTTTATGCTGTTCTTCTCGAGGGTGAGGTAAGACCTCTTTGGTCTTCCCAGCTGTCCTCCAGAACATAAAAAAAAAATAAATACATTTCTATTGCTCTCTGAGAGGAAGGGAGAGGGAGAGAGAGAGAAACATCAGTGGTGAGAGGGAATCACGCATGGGCTGCCTCCTGCACACCCCACACTGGGGATCGAGCCCGCAGCCTGGGCACGTGCCCTGACCTGGAATTGAACTGTGACCTCCTGGTTCATCGGTCGATGCTCAGCCACCGAGCCACCCTGGCCTGGCTGTCCTCCAGACATTTTTAACTTGCTCTTGGTGATCAGCTTTGACGGATTCCATTGCCATCGAAAAGCCATGATCCTTTTTCTGCTCCCAAGGGTATGATGTGCTTTCTTTCCAACAGCTCTCACCTCTTCTCCCATCTCAGGGGCCTTCTTTTTGTCCCTTCTCGTTCTTCCGCAGGACTTGGCACAGTATGTGAACGAAGTGAAGAGGGACAACGAGACCTTGCGTGAAATCAGGCAGTTCCAGCTCTCCATAGAGAACCTGGTAAGTCAGGGTCATTCCGTCCGGCCCCCCCCCGCCCCGCCAAGTGGCGTTTTTGAAGAAAAGACACTTTACTTTCAGTGTTCCAATCCCAGTTTATTTTCCCTCTTCCTGTTTGGCCGCATCCACACAGAGGGCTGGGGGCACCTGCGACAGTGACTCTGCCCTCATGGTGCCCTCACCTTAATCACACAGCTCCTCCCCCCGCCGTCCACATCCTAGACTGGTGGTCAGCCAACTCATTAGTCCACAGAGCCAAATGTCAACAAGGACAACGACTGACATTTCTTCAGAGAGCCACATTTTTTAAACTTCTTCTAACACCACTTCTTCAACATAGACTTGCCCAGGCCGTGGTGTTCTGTGGAAGAGCCACCCTCAAGGGGCCAAAGAGCCGCATGTGGCTCGCGATCCGCAGTTTGCCGACCACCATCCTAGACCTTGGCGCCCTCACTGCCATACACACTTACGCTGATTCCCGTGCATTTACTCATTGTACGTGTATTTGCTGGGTGACTCTTACGCACCCAACCTTGAGCCTGGGGCTGGGGCTGGAACTCTGAGCCATGTCGTCTCATGGTGGAGGAGGCAGGGAAAAGAGAGTTTAAAGAAGCTGTTTTGAGATAGTGCTGTGAAGAGGGCGATCCAGTAGGATCAGAAGGGGAGGCCTCATTTCGATGGGATGATTCGAAAAAGCCCTTGTGAGGGAGTAGCCCCTGGAGCCTGAAGCATAAGAAGAAGCTGCAGCACAGGGATCGGGGGGAAGGATTCCAGGCAGAAGCCACAGTGTTACTGCTGGGGAGAGGCCCCCTACTGGGGATGGAGCCCGCAGCCCTGGACACGTGCCCTGACCGGGAATGGAACCGTGACCTCCTGGTCCTTGGGCCGACGCTCAGCCACGGAGCCGGCGGGCTAAGTGAGAACTGGTCATTCTGAGACCTCAGAGCAGGGACACCCTCCTTGGCTCTTTACACCAAAGGGGGTCTCCAGCCGTGCACGCCGCCCGTCATGGCAGTTGGGTATTTGTAAATGCAGACTTGCTTGTTTCCCTGATGGCCAGTAGCACCACGAGGGCCAGGTCTCTGTCATTTCACCTATGGCGGTGGCTGACACCATGGATACCCAAGAAACACTAGTTCCTGCAGCTTCCTGGTGACTTGGGTTCTTGTGAGGAATGCTCCTTTTGGGAGCTGCCTTCCTCGTTGGGGTTCTACATAAAATTAGTTCATGTCCTCGACCTGCCTCCCAGGAGGACCACGGACAGGCTGGTTTTGAAAGTGTATCATGTAGACCTGAGCTTTTTAGAGTAAGTGCACTGGATGTGAGATGATAAAAGTTGTAGTGTAACAGAGAGTTGTTCTTTTTTTTTTTTTTTTTAAATATATTTTATTGATTTTTTACAGAGAGGAAGAGAGAGGGATACAGAGTTAGAAACATCGATGAGAGAGAAACATCGATCAGCTGCCTCTTGCACACCCTCTACTGGGGACGTGCCCGCAACCAAGATACATGCCCTTGACTGGAATCGAACCTGGGACCTTTCAGTCCACAGGCCGACGCTCTATCCACTGAGCCAAACCGGTTTCGGCCAGAGAGTTGTTCTTAACATCCTCACTGACGTTTTCCCTGGGTTTTTATGTGACAATGAAACACTGAGACACGTACATTTTCTCTTTTAGAACCAGCCAGTGTTGCTTTTCGGACGGCCGCAGGGAGATGGCGAGATTCGAATCACCACTCTGGACAAGCACACAAAGCAAGAGAGGTGAGGCAGAGGAGGTGCGCTTTCCGAATAGGTCATTCGTGTCCGAGCCCAAGGAGACCTCAGACATGGCTCCTCCAGGCAGAGCGGGGACATGGAGGAGGAAGCCGAGGGGCAAGCCAGCTTCCGTGTCCTAAATGTTCCTCATGCACATCCACCATGGTGTCCCCTCTGCGTCTGTTGATTTGTCTAAGTTGTTAAGTAGGAAATGGCAGCCGGGGTAAAAGGACGCACACCTGACACTGAGAGGAGAGAGGAACCACAGCACAGATGTACCATCACACACAGTGGTTTCATTTGTTGGGTCTACATTTTAAAATAACAAAAAACAATACCTGATGTCCAAAGGAAGATGTTTGAGGAGGATCACTGCATGAGTGAGCCTTTCTGGAGGGGAATTCGTAGGTGGAGTCCTTGGAGATGAGTAAGCTTGGCATGGTGTCCCAGACTCTCTGTGATTTTCATCACTTGGTCGAAATGGCCCTTTCCTGGAACCTGTGCAGATGAGAAAGCCAGCCAGCAGGGGGCAGCATCAGCGCTTGCTTCCTCCTGATCCCAGGGCTCTACAGATAGCTTCCGGGAGACACACATCCTTTTAGCATCTCCAGGAAAATAGGCTTTGAAAGCACTGCAAGTGTTAACGCTGCATGAACGTATCATTATCATAGTTTCAAAAACGTGTGCGTATTAAACCACAGAGTTTTCGAAAGGTACAAGATTTGGTATTGGGTGATGGGATGATAGTTTTCTCCCCAGTTATGTTGTTTTTATTTTTTATTTGTTTTATTTATTTATTAAAATATATTTTATTGATTTTTCACATAGAGGAAGAGAGAGAGGGATAGAGAGCCAGAAACATTGATGAGAGAGAAACATCCATTAGCTGCCTCCTGCACACACCCCCCCCCCCTCCACGGGGAATGTGCCCACAACCAAGGTACATGCCCTTGCCTGGAATAGAACCTAAGACCTTTCAGTCCGCAGGTCGATGCTCTATCCACTGAGCCAAACCGGTTTCGGTTATGTTGTTTTTAAAAAGAAAAGAGGAACAGCAGCATGTAAACTTCACCATGTTTTCTCTAGTTTGCGCTTTGCTCCTGTGCCTCAGGCAGTAGTCCAGGCGGCTTCTGCCTGCAACCCCGAGGAGCAGCCTGCAGGGCAGGAGCGCGGGCCCACAGCTGGGCCAGGCGGGAGCCCGCTCGGCACCTCTCTAGTAGCATGACCTTCAGCCAATGAACTCACCGGTCCTCAGTTTCCTCCACAATAAATGACGGTACTCATACCTGGCTCCCCAGAAGGCCATGGGGGTTACATTGTGTCCATCATCTCGGTGAAAGGCTTTCGGGCTGCTCCTAATAACGTCAGGAGTTCATGGCCGTTGCTTTCATTCATATCATTCTGTAAATCGCTAGCTTTTAAACTAAAACAAAAGCAATTGTTCAAGGGCAACACTTTTTATGGCTAATCTCAATTGTTTCTTTTTTTAAAATATATTTTTACTGATTTCAGAGCGAGAAAAGGAAAAGGAGAGAGATAAAAACATCAGTAATTCATGAGTCATTGATCGGCTGCCTCCTGCACGCCCCCTACTGGGGATCGTGCCCGAAACCCCAGGCATGTGCCCTGACTGGGAATTGAACACTGACCTCCTGGTTCAGGGGTCAACGCTCAACCACTGGCCCACACTGACCTGGCTCAGTTGTTTCTTATAACTATGTTGATTGTGCCTGTTGTTCTTATTAAAAGTTTTCTTTTCTTTTTTTTCCCCTTTCCCTAGTTGGTTTGGCTCAGTGAATAGAGCCTTGGCCTGCGGACCAAGGGTCCCGGGTTCAATTCTGGTCAAGGGCAGGTATCTTGGTTGCAGGCTCCTCCCTGGCCCGGACCCTGGTCAGGGCTCGTGCAGGAGGCAACCAATCAATGTGTTCCACGTCGATGTTTCGCTCTGTCTTTCCCTCTCTCTTCCATTCTCCCTAAAAAGTCAATGGGAAAATATCCTCAGGTGAGGATTAAAAAACAAAACAAGAACATACAAAAACGGTTTTCCTGTTTTGTTTTTAAATAAGGAAACTGAGGTACAGTGAGGCCACTCGTTTAGTGAAGGGTAGTGAAGGGTACGATGCTCACGGTTCATCCTTTCCAAAGTGCGGCACTGCCTTGTCCTCAACTCAGAGGAGAAGTGTTTGTTTGGTTTAATTCTGTGCATAAGGGAAGAACTAACACGTGCTTCCAAACCATTTTAAATCAGCCCCTCTCTCTCTCTCTCTCTCTCTCTCTCTCTCTCTCTCTCAGGCACATCTTCTTATTCGACTTAGCAGTGATTGTCTGCAAAAGAAAAGGTGACAACTATGAAATGAAGGAAATAATAGATCTCCAGCAGTACAAAATAGCCAACAATCCTACAACGGATAAAGAAAACAAAAAGGTGAATTCTTGGAGATTCATAACTGTGGTTTACTCAGGACTTTGAACGTTCAAGGAAAACGGGCTCATCCATTCCCGGGAGCGGTAACTCATCAATTTAGGAGTTTCTGCTTTTGGAAATTGATCAGGGGAAAGAGTGGGACGGTGTCACAGCTGATAGGCTCATCCCAAATGCTGGTGACCAAGACAGTCCGACGCATTTGCGTAGAAATGGTTGTGGATGTGAGGTTGCCTACGAGGGTCTTGATGGGTCCCAGGTGAACGTTACGAGATGCCTGTGGATGGTGATGGTGGTGGTGCAGTGGATTTGGGAACGTGATGTTACTCATGCATGACCCGTATTAACCTGAGGAATATTGATTTTAACAGTGGTCTTATGGCTTCTACCTCATCCATACCCAAGGACACAATGGGTTAGAATTTTATTGCAAAACAAAAGATTTAAAGAAAAAATGGCTGGAACAGTTTGAAATGGCTTTGTGAGTATTTCTCCTTTTAAAAGTGCTTCTTCCCTTCTGCTTCCCTCTCTGATGGATAATATGTGTAGAGGCTGCGGTAATGCAGACAGGAGCCCGTGCTGCTGGCTCTCTGCTTGGCGACCTCGGTCTCTGAGGAGAGGTTTGGGTGAACTTCTCCAAGGAAAAGCAAGAGGGAGCTCTGGCCTTCTGTTTGGATTTTTCTCCTGGGCGTCTCTCAATTCTTCAGCTTCCAGCACCCACGGAAAGAATTATTCTAATGATCAACTTTTACTGTTATTACCATGTTTTTAATATATATGCATTTTAAAATGGGATAGAAATGACTCTCCCCCAAATACACGCACACACATACACCCCCATGCACACCCCCATGCACATACACACACACGCGCATGCACACCCCCCCACATGCATATAAACACATGCACACACATACACCCCCATGCACATGCACACACACACACGCACATGCATATACACACACACACCCACACCCACACGCATATATACACATGCACACACATACACCCCATATACACACACACACATGCACAGACACACATGCACGCACACACATATATACACACACGCGCACACCCATGTATACACACGAGCACACACATACACACCCATGTACACACATATACACTCATGCACAAATTTTGTTTTGAATAGAAAGGTTGATCCCCTCCCACCTGCTCGTTTTGAACTCATTTATTGTTCAGATCCTGGAGGAATTGCCGGGCGCCTTGAATGAAGGCTTTCAGAGCTCGGCTTCTTTCAGGGCTCTTTGCTTTGATTAAAGTCGCAGCTCAGCACAGAGGTGGGGATAATTCAGACCTGTTCCCAAAGGAAGGGCGTGGGGAGATGTAATTACATAAGAACCAGCCATTCGGGTGTGTGTGTGTGGGGGGCTCCTTTCCGTCTTGATGCTTATGGATTATGACCTGGCTGTGGAAACACCCAGAAATGGAAACTGTTAGCCAAGGTGGAACTAAGGAAAAAGGACACCCGTGCTTGTGTGATCTGCTTCATTTGTATTCTAACATTTCTTACCATTGCAGACAGAGTCCACCAGGGCCTTTTTCTGTGTTCTTTTTCTTTGCTTTGTTTTAAGAGACGCCCCTGTGTATATAAAATGGAGGTGGGATCAGATGGTTTTATTGTAGTTCTGCAGTGAGAAGCTATAACGGATAGGATGGTGCAGGTAAAATATTTTAAAGCTTATAGACTCTCCTGGACTCAGCGGCAATCACCACCACGAGCTGTCTCCAGAGTCTCAGCCCCGTTACCTAAGGCCTCAGAGCCTCAGTTTCCCCCTCGGTAAAACAGGGACGAGAGTAGTTTGACCTGCAGAGTGTATGGTCAGGCAGAGGGCTCTCCCACAGGAGCAGACCTGTTTGTTACCACCATCATGAACAAGGTTTTGTATTTAGGCTCCCAGGGTTCTACCGTGGGTACTTCTAACACGAGAGCGCACCCCCAGGGCACTCCTCTAGGCCTTGAGATTGACTGACCTTTATGGCACCAATGAAACAGAAGAGGGTAGAGCTGTGGGCATTCACGCAGTGGCTGTTCTACAGACCCCTTTGGTTCGGGGCACAAGTGGTGCCCTCAGGGACGTCTGCCCAGGCCTCCCAGGCCGAATCATAGAATCATAGACCTCATGTGCTTCCCTAGAGAGGTCTCAGGTGACAGAAGGCACCTGCGCCAGCCGGTGGGATGGGCGTGGTGGGATGCTGGGCTGACGGGCAGAGGCAGCGCTGAGCTTGCGCCTTTACTTCTGCGGGGAAGGCGTGCGGCTGTGTCTTCTCCTGGGTCTTGTGCAAACGTGGCATCGCTGGCGAGCAGAGGAATCTGTGCAGTGGGGGAAGTTACGTTGCTTGCCCAGAGCAGACATGGGGACTTGGCCTGTGTGCTAGGGCGGAGCCAAAGTAGGTTTACAGTTGTCCCTGTGGACAATAATACAGTAATTAATAAATAGTAATACAAGAAGAAATCCTGGGTTTGGGTACTCACTACCATAAGCCTCCTTTGGCCCCACCTGTATTTTGTCCAGTTGCCGTAGTTTCCATGACATTAGAAAAGGTGGCTTTGAGCACCTACAGCGATCAGCGTTCACCATATGGTTCGGAAGCTGTGAATGTGTGTCCCCGACCCCTCCTCGCCAGCGTGTTTTCATGAATTCTGTAAGATTTAAACCAGTGGACATTGTCTTACCCACATGATAGCTCGGGAAGCCAGACTTCACTGGAGCATTTCGGCAGACATGGCCAAGTTCAGGGCTGTGTCATTGGCAGTAGAGTTGGGGGTCTCAGGTCCCAGCCTTTTCTTTAGCCACGAAGGTGTTGGCATAAGCAGCTGGCCTCCAGCCCTTTGTCTAAAGCCGGAGTCAGTTTCCTTTTTCTTTTCATTGTGACGAGGAGCTAGAGCAGCGTGTCCAACCTTTCCATCTTGTGGCCCACACACACTGGCCACTGCGGTTCTGCGCACACCCAGATGCGTTCTTTGCAGATCTGACCAAAAGAGAGGTACAGCTTTGGTTCATTCAACTGGATGGCTATTGTTGTGTTGGCTGTTGTCATTTTTTTTTTACTTGACCACCTAAACCAGGGGTGGGAAGTATCTGGTCCGCTGGCCATATAAGGCCCGAGAGATTATATGGTCTGGTCCTGCCAAGGCATTAGGAGCCAGTTAATTAAATGTTTGACCAAATACAGCAGGCTAATTTTTCAGTGGATAATTTTGTATGGCCCGAGAACGATGTTATAAATATCCAATGGCCCTTGGCAGAAAGGTTTCCTACACTAGATTTAAGGGAAAAGAGGTCAGTGGCCCTGACTGAAGAATCTGATATTGCATGTTTTAAAAATTCTTGTGGCACACTGCTCTAAAATCGCTGACCTAGAGCATCAGACAGTTTCTTTAACTGTCCCAGAAATGAGGCAAAGTTGGGTAAAATATGAAATAAAGAAAGTGGATAATAGAATAAGACTTTTTAAATAAAGATTTTTTAATTGATTTTTTTTAGAAAGAGAGAGAGAGAAGCATTGATTGGCTGCCTCCTGCACACTCCCTACTGGGGATCAAGACCAACACCTGGACATGTGAATTGAACCGTGACCTCCTGGCTCATGGGTTGATACTCAGTCAGTGAGCCACACCATCTAGAATGTATGTAAGTACATTTAAATAGCAATTCAACAAATTCTCTAACAAAAGATTTTAATATTGTGCTGTCAATATCTCTATCTCAGACATCGATGATGATGATGATGGGTGGACAGCCTACCTTCAGGGCTGTGGGAAAAATCAATGGTCTTCTAAAAATTTGAGCTCTGATATTTGCCAAGTATTTCTGCTTCCAATAGAGGGAAAGCATAAGAAGACGATGCAAACAGAAAAAAAAAATCCATCAATCTATTTGTAAAAAGAAGTGGCTCCCACAAGATAAGTCACTACAAAGCAGAACTGGATTAAGTTAGACCCACACAGGCTACAAGAATTCAACCTGTGTGCTCTGGCCCCAAGGGGCATGTTTCTTGGAATAGTACTGCCCACTACTGGCCACTTGGCTCATTGCAGTTTCAGAACTGTCAGAGGAAGTCACTGATTTCAAACAGTGATTTTTCAGCCTTTTTCTTCTCCTGGCACAATTAACCAATTACTACAGTTCTTTGGCGCGCGCACACACAGACACACAGACACAGACACACACACACACACACACACACACACACTATATATATATATATATATATATATATATATATACACATATATATACATATATATATGTATATATATATATATATATATATATATATATATATATCCCAATATGACAAAAAATAGGTATAACTTTTTGCTTTGTTGGCTGTTGTGGTTATTCAATTTGACAATCAAAGGGAAAAGAGGTCAGTGCCCCTATCTAAGCGGACAGGGATTACGTGTTTTAAAAATTCTTGCTGCACACTGGGTGAAAATAGCTGGATTAAAGTAATCAATCCATTTTCTACATAATAATACTTTGGCTTATTAGGTGTTTAATATCGAAAAGCCCTCCTCGGTAAAAACCAGTCATCAGAGAGCCTCTTGGGTCCCCGTTATGTGTGCTTTTTGATCGAGGGTTCTCAGCCAATTCCTCTGGCTTTGCAAGACGGTATGTCCACAGATTATTCCAAAAATAAGCATTTGGTGGTGATAAGTCTTCGCTGGTCTGACACGGGAAGTATACTACGCAGTGACTGAGGCTGATTTTCTGCCTTTATCGCATTGTTTTTGGTCTCTAGGATGGCTTTGTGTATCTTTCGTTACTAAAGACTCAAATTACAACCCCCCCCCCCCAAAAGATGGTATGTTCGACGAGATGGGCATAGACTATCAATTTTATTTTTGTTATGATTTTGAATGTAAGGAATGCCTTCATTATAATTAAGCTAATTTTCTGTATTATTTAATCATCATTGTACTTCCACAGACGGATTAAGGCTTATTGAATTTTCCTGATGGTTTACAGAACAGGTCCACAGAATTCAAAGCGGAGCAATCACCTATAGGGCATAAAAGCCTTAATCTTCCCAGAGGGACCACACATAGCATTGCCTGGCCTGTACATCCACACACATTCTTATAAACACACACACACACACACACAGAGTAATAACTGTCTGATGTCCTTTTGAGAACCCAAAGAGAAAAGTGTCCTGACTGTTGTGTAGAGAGAAAGGAGAGTACACTTGCACCATTATTTTTGTATCAGAATTAGCTTCTGCACTTCCTCCGACTTCTGTTGCCATTCACAAGCCTTCTACACATTCAAGAAAGAGGCTGCAAGAAAAAAAAAGATCACCAACATTTTCCAACCCTCCGCCCTTTGGATCGGTGAATGGCTGCCAAGTCCTCAGACCCGCCTGGGTCGCATGTGCAGTCGGTGGTAGGACCGGGGCCCTTCCGCCTCTGGTTTCTCCTGCTCCCCCCCAACTTTGAACTCCATGGAA